GTGGGGGCGGGCGGGCGCCCTGCGGCGGGGGGGGGGGGGGGAGAAACGGTCGCGCGGGCTTCCGAACCGTGAGAGAGAGAGCCGCGGATCTAGCGGGTGAGGACTGAGAAAAGGACGAGCCCGTCTCGGATGCCTCCGCTAAATCCACCCGTGATCCCCACAACAACAGTCTGTGCTGTGCCTCGGCAACAGCAGGACCGCTGCCAGCGGGATCGCGAGCCTGGCCACTCTCATCAAACGCAGCCAGGCGAGAGCGGAGAGTGCGCAGCGAGAGCTTGCAGTGATGGCAATCAGCTGCTCGAAAGCTGACCGTGCATGCTCCGCTCCTAAACAAATGATACACAAATCGTGTGTATTCCCTGCCGCCAGATATCGTGGGCAGGGAGAAACACAGCGTTTGTAATGCCGTTCGCTCGCCATAGACTTTCTCATTGTTTTATATATATGAGTGCTTGTGCGGACAGACAACAGTAAATAGACGGACACATACACAGAGCGCTACTGAAGGACAGAAGCTGGGTGGCACCCGGCCGGATGCGCTTTAATGCTGTCTGGTCCTTACGTCACCCTGCTCGTGATGTCTTGCTGCTCCATTGGACGGATTTGACACGTGCTTCAGAATGCGGTCACACAAGGGCGTTCCCAAAGCGAATCTCGACGCAGCTCGAGTTCCTGAAGGGGAATCCCCCTTTTCAGATCGCAAAGCATGAATACATTTTTTCTGACCATTTTTTTTTCTAAACTGAAAAATTATTTTGAAGGAGCATCCATTAATTCAGAATTTTGAAAACAGGATCTAATTATAGCCCCTCTCATTGTCAAACCTAGCATATCAGCTAATAAACTCTTTTTCCTTTTTTATGTTCTCCATATCGGTTGCATCTTTTGTGGACTCTGCTAACTCTTGTAACTTTATTACATCTTCTTCCAAAACACACATTGAGCTATTAATGTCTCTCGTGGCATTGTGAGAATATTGCAGACACAATTGTTTTATTTGTACCTTCACAAAATCCCACCACTGCTGTAATGTTGAAAAATAAGATTTCATACCTTTAGCATTTTTCCAAAACTCTTTAAAAACGTATCTCACCCTAAAATGAAAATTCTGTCATTAATTACTCACCCTCATGCCCCTCCAAACCCGAAAGACCATCTTCGGAACAGAAATTAAGATATTTTTGATTCAATTTGAGTGCTTTCTGGCCCTGCATAGACAGCAACAGAACATTCAAGCAACATTCAAGGCCCAGAAAGGTAGTAAGGACATAATTAAATAGTCCATGTGACATCAGTGGTTCAACCGCATTTTTATGAAGCTACAAGAATACTTTTTTTGTCAGCCTTGGATGCGTTCACTAGAGAACCATGATGTATGCATGTGATAAAGCTGCTAATGCAGGAGTATTCTTACATAGAACGCCCATCTCTCTTAGTTCATCGTCTGTATATCCTGGTTCGAATAAGTAAGGCTGGGCAAAAAAAATTTAAGTCATCCTCACTGTCGAAATCTTCATACATGTTTACGAAGACTGTTTTATGTATAGTGTGCATCTTTCTCTGCTTGCAGCGCATCAGTTTTCTTTGTGCACAAAAAGTATTCTTTTAGCTTTATAAAATTGAGGTTGAATCACTGATGTCACATGAACAATTTTAATGATGTCCTTACTACCTTTCTGGGCCTTAAACGTTTTGGTTGTGTTGCTGTCTATGTATGATCAGAAAGCTCTCGGATTTCATCAAAAATATCTTAATTTTTGTTCTGAAGATGAACGAAGGTCTTACGGGTTTGCAAAGAAGGCTAGCTCAGAATGCATTGTGATGAACTTCATCTTGGAGATCCATCAGAAATCGCATACTGTAAAGTAGTTGCTAAAACCTACTTTGCGACTGTTAAAAAGTAAGTTATAGTATGAATGTCTGTAGTATGGATATAATTCGGATGTACTACACCCACCATGTTGTCACTGCAATAGTAAAGTATCCATCAGACGCATGCTTTAGAATCTCAGCAGAAATAGCGGGTCATCTGGGTACTTTTCGCCTACTGTTTTATAAATACTATGAATTTTGACATACTGCTCATCTCACATACTGTTTTTCAATCAATCACTTATGAGGTTCCATTTCATTTAAAATGCTCCCTCAAAAGACAGCTGCTATAAAGAGAGAAAGCTTAAATGATTTTAGCAAATGGCTGCAATATAACAAAGAGTGAAAAATTTAAGGGGGTCTGAATACTTTCCGTACCCACTGTATATAACATGTAGACTTTAAATTATAGAAAATATACTTTTAATGTGGAGGTTCACAGAAAATGTTTTTGTATTTAATAATATGAGGTGCAGTGCAGTGGAATGGGAAAAAAACTCAAATTTGAAATATGCAATTAAAAAAAAAACTGTTGAACTTGAGTATCATGTTTTTAGAATAGTATAGTGTCATGCATGATACTCTGCAAAATAGTTAAGCGCAGTGGACAAAGATGTCCATCTAAGTTGGCTTGGTAGCCTCGTAGGCAGCGTGCCGACATAAAGTGCCATTGCGCTCCTGACGTCCCGAGTTTGAGTCCCAACTCGTGGACCTTTCCCGATCCAACCCCCCTCACTCTCCCTCCCATTTCTCACCTGTCCTATCAAAATAAAGGCAAAAATACCAAAAAAAAAAATCAGTCTAGTTTCCCAGTATATTAATACATGACTCTTTATTTGTCCTACTCAGCTCCTGCTAAAATCCTGTCTTTCGGAGGAACGGTGACCACTCCATGGATGAAGGAAGTTCGGCTGCCGTGCAGCTCAGTGGGAGAGCCAACACCAACCATCAAATGGACCAAAGACAGGTCTAGGATCGGCTTACATCACTGTGTTTTTCCAATGAATCCTTGAAATTTTGAAACTTAAAGGTTTAGATTTTCAAACCAAAATACCTTTTTTTAGCCTTCTGACTCTTCACAGACATTCACCTCTAATTTATTCAAAGATGAGAAGATCAATATGACTGATTTGATTCTTACAGTGAGGACACCACCATCCCAGTTACTCAAGATGGTCACCGGAATATTCTTTCAAATGGTACCCTGGTGCTGCGCTCTGTGAAAGCCGAGGATTCTGGGTACTACACCTGCACGGCCACCAACACACTGGGGTTTGACACAATCATCGTAAACCTGCTGGTACAAGGTAGGTAAGCGCATACTTTCACGGGTAAAGGTGCTGTCACATGGAATTTGGCTCAATTTTGGGCAAAAAATGTCCATTGTCAATAGCAGTGCATAAAGCTCACAGGTCACTTTCAAAGTAGCCTTAATTTGGTCAGTTTGGCAATTTGTGTGACCAAATTAAACCTGTTGCAAAATCTGTGTGGGTAAATCTTTCACTCTCAATTTCACAGATTCTTATTGATGACTCAATTTCGACAACAAAAAATGTCCAAACAACAGTAAATGTGACCACATCTGTAGGGTGGGGATATAGATTATATATGGATATAGATGTCTTGTTTCAGGACAAGTAAAAGTTGATTTACGTCAAAACACAATGCTAGGAAAACCATGGTGGCCAAAATATTAAATATTGAAAATATTAAAAATTCCCATCAATCTCTGTGTCCTGTGTTATAGTGCCTCCAGATCAACCACGTTTGACAGTTTCCACCACGTCCACTTCTTCAATCACTCTGGCTTGGATCCCTGGAGACAATGGAGGAAGTTCCATCAGAGGTACAAGCACCTGTCCTGTCTCTTTCTGGTCGCCTCAGAATTTTTACATAGTGGGCTCCTCAAAGTAAAAGTCATTTCATTTTCTTTTCTCTATCTCTAAGGTTTCTTTACATTTTGCAGACTCTCTCTTTTTTTCTGTCTATCCGTCTTTCTTTCAGACTGTGATTAATCTGTCACTGTGTCACATGTTACTGTCAAACTGCTTGCATCTCACAGTAAATTAGGTAAAAAAAAAAAATAACAGAGATGTCTGTGGTGTTTGTGTGCGTAAAAGAGGGAGAAAAATAAGGAGGGTTGTCAATGGGTAAATCCTTATGCTGTGGCGCCCTTTATTTTGCCATCTGCCAAAGCCAAAATGAGACACCAAATCCGGGCCACATGATTAATCTGTCACTGTGTCACATGTTACTGTCAAACTGCTTGCATCTCACAGTAAATTAGGTAAAAAAAAAAAAAACAGAGATGTCTGTGGTAAAAGAGGGAGAAAAATAAGGAGGGTTGTCAATGGGTAAATCCTTATGCTGTGGCGCCCTTTATTTTGCCATCTGCCAAAGCCAAAATGAGACACCAAATCCGGGCCACTCCTAATGATGGGCGACGCCATATTGTGCATCTATTTGCATAACTGTGCAGTCAGCATTTCTCTCTCTGTCTGGGTTACTAATGGAGGTTTACTGCAATCTGATCAGCACTTCATCTGAGATTGTTACTCTAAGATTAGTCTGTAAGGTCAATGCGCCATCTGGTGGTGATGTTAGGAAGTGTTCTAAATTTGGCTTGCAATGCCAACATGATGAGTTTGATTCCCATGAATTGCATGAACTGATAAAACAATACAATATAATAATATCATTAATAAAATACTATCAATAATATATTGCATACGTGTGTGCATGTTCAGGTTTCGTGCTGCAGTATTCAGTAGATAACACTGAGGAGTGGAAGGATGTCTTTATTAGCTCCAGTGAACGCTCTTTCAAGTTGGACAACCTGCGTTGTGGTACCTGGTACAAAGTCAAACTTGCAGCAAAAAACAGTGTGGGAGCTGGTCGCATTAGTGAGATCATTGAGGCCAAGACTCATGGCAGAGGTGAGCAGTTATTACAGTTCTTGCAGCTTGTTTTCTTCCCTGAAGTTCATGTTTAATCAAGGTTCTTGCACCAAAAATGGTATTAATTTAGTTGCTTATGACTATTTTCCTCCATTTCACTAACCGTTAGAATTAAATAAGCTCGTTTTGCTACTTTACATTTGAGAAATGTGTGTAAAAAATAATAATAATGATTTGCTAAACAAGTTCAAAGTGGAAGATCTATTTTTATTCATAAACACTACCGTGCAAAATTTGAGCGTCTGTAAATTTTTCTTTTTGAAATAAGTCTCTTATGCTCACCAAGCAATATATTTTAAAATGTAATTGATGTAAATGTAATTCATTTCTGTAATGGCAAAGCCGAATTTTCAACAGCCATTATTCCATTCTTCAGTGTCACATGATCCTTCAGAAATCATTATAATAACTTCTGATCAACTTAATGTGTCCTCACTGAGTAATTTCTTTAAAAAAAAAAGTTTGTACAGTAGTGAATATCCAATAATAAAAATGTAAAACTCATGGCAAAGCCGAATTTTCAACAGCCATTATTCCATTCTTCAGTGTCACATGATCCTTCAGAAATCATTATAATAACTTCTGATCAACTTAATGTGTCCTCACTGAGTAATTTCTTTAAAAAAAAAAAGTTTGTACAATAGTGAATATCCAATAATAAAAATGTAAAACTTGAAGATAAATCTAAATCAATTGGGTGTTGTATGTGACATCTAGACATGTGAAATTAGATTATATGGTAATTAATCTATTGCATCAATAGGGGGTTTTCAGGACACATTGTCAATTGGCCACATTGGCGGCACTGAATGTAAGCAATGCCACTGAACCGAATGGAACTTGCAAATTTTTCTGATTATTGCTGCTGAAAAGTTAAAACAAATCAAGGAGAAGAGTGCAAAAAAAATCATGCCCTTTATAACTTGCTAAGTCCTTCTCTATATGATTAAGCAACTTCCACACGTTTTTTCCATGCTTTAGACAGCATAAATTAGTAGAACAATGTCTTCAGTAGTACAGTATCCATGCAATCCATGCTGTTGTTTACATCTTAGTATCTCCAATATGGCCGCGCATCCGGGTAACTGACCAAACCGTAACGTAGGTGCAAGCACTCTATACATCACACGATAATATAGATTGTGAAATGTGATCTTTTCTTGTTTTGCAGAGCCGCAGTTCAATAAAGACCAGCCCCTCTTCACTCACATCAACTCCACCCACGCCCGCCTCAACCTACAGGGCTGGACGAGCGGCGGCTGCCCCATCACTGCTGTCCTGCTAGAGTTCCGCCCCAAAGGCACCTGGGCTTGGCAGAGCGTGCGCACCAATGCCTCAGCTGACATATTCCTCGCCGAGCTGCGTGAGGCCACTTGGTATGAGCTAAAGATGAAGGCATGCAACAGCGCCGGGTGCGGAAACCAGAGCTCTCAGTTTGCCACTCTGGATTATGATGGTAGTAAGTTTACAAGCAAGAGAGAGTTTCATTCCCCAGTAATTCTGCCACCATTAGTCAAGTCACTCAATTTTCATTCAATAATTGTTCGGATGTACAAATATATTTCCGCCAGGACATGTAATAGAGGACAACACAAAAGAACATGAACAATTAGCAGCTAAATCAATTAATTAGGCTGTTTTTAGGCCTGAATTTTAGAGATAAGAGGCCTTGACGTGAGCTTTATCTCGATCTCTGTACTTATCTCTATTTCCTTTCCTCCGCAGGCACTATTCCGCCTATTAAGTCAGCACGAGGGGAAGGGGATGATGTTAAAAAGCTTTTCTCTATCGGCTGCCCTGTCATCCTCGTCACACTGGGCATGGCCTTACTTTTCATTATCCGCAAGAAACGCAAAGAAAAGAGACTCAAGAGACTTAGAGGTGAGAGAGAAATAGGCCGAAAATTTATAAAATGCTGCTTGAATAGAATACTATATGTACAAAGGTGGCCAAAATTGTTAGAACACTTGGCATATTTAAGAGGTTTCAGGGGGTTTTATTGAATTGGCCATTACAATACCAATAAAATGAACTATTGCCGAAACTACCTGCGATGGAAGGAATCTGCTGGAACATTGAAAATGATGGACTGGCCCCCTCAAAGTCTGGACCTCAACTCCGTCGAGCAAATTTGGGGCGAGTTGGAAAATAAACTGGACAGATCTGTTATACATTCAAAGGAAAGCCTTTGGTTTAGTTCGCAGATGGCATGGGATAACATTAGTGTTGAAGTTCTCAGGAAATATGTTGGCACTATGCCAGAGAGATGTGCTGCTGTAATTGCTGCAAAAGGTGGACATACCAAATATTAAAGTTAAAAGTGGATAAAAAAAACAGTACGACTCACTTCATCTGATAGTTGTTGTGCTCAGAGCAACCATCTGCATGTTTCATGAACATTATTAAATGAAATCATGTTTTGGAGGCAAAAAGGGTCAATCATTTCAGATCTGTCAGGTGTTCTTACCATTTTGGCCACCACTGTATAGTTTTTTTGTTTTTCATATTTTCATTAGACATTTTCAGAATCATTAGAATAAAATTACTCTCATTTCCATCTGTAGATGCTAAGAGCTTGGCTGAGATGCTTATCAGGTAAGGATATATTTACAAGTCTGTGTACAGATTAAACTCCAGAATTAAAACTCAAACATTAAACTCAAAATGAATTCCTTACATAATTTGTGTTTAAGGAAGTGGCAGTGGCAATACATTTTCCCCCTCTGTGTTTGTGTGTGTCTGTCTGTGGTTGTTTTGTAAATGGAGCAGTAAGAACAATCGAAGTTTTGACACTCCTGTGAAAGGCCCACCTCAGGGACCCCGACTGCACATAGATATCCCCCGTGTGCAACTGCTCATCGAGGACAAAGAGGGAATCAAGCAGATAGGTCAGTGTTTGCATATATGCAAATCATATGCTATTGCAATATATATATATTTTTTTAAATCTGAGATGGAGTTGAGTTGATTCCTAAAAGAAAATCCTAAACTCCTAAAACTAAATTTTTCCTCAAGGCATGTGTATATTTCTCTTTTGTGTGTGATAGGTGAAGACAAGGCCACCATCCCTGTGACAGACACTGAGTTCAGCCAATCAGTGAACCCTCAGAGCTTCTGTACAGGCGTGTCTGTGCATCACCCCGCTCTCATCCAGAACACAGGCCCTTTGATTGATATGTCAGACATCAGGCCGGGCACCAGTATGTCACAGCTCACCCACTCATTCCATAACAGATGGAAGATGGTATAATTAATTAATGTTTCATACACTCTCTGATATTACTTTTCTCAGATCCAATATCGAGGAAGAGCGTGAAGTCTGCGCACAGCACGAGGAACCGCTATTCCAGTCAGTGGACTCTGACTAAATGCCAGGCGTCCACACCTGCTCGCACTCTCACCTCAGATTGGCGGACAGTGGGCTCCCAGCATGGCATTACGGTCACAGAGAGTGACAGCTACAGTGCCAGCCTGTCCCAGGACACAGGTCCACACACTTGCACACACACACATTTCAGATTTTAAGAATATGTATGTTCCATTAACCAGACTTGGTCTTTTTCTGGCCAAAACGTTTGACAGAAAGGGTCAGCATATGAAAAGTGTTAACACTCATTCTGTCCTCTCCTGTACTCAGATAAGGGACGAAACAGTATGGTGTCCACAGAGAGTGCGTCTTCCACCTACGAGGAGCTGGCCCGAGCGTACGAACACGCTAAACTGGAGGAGCACCTGCAGCACGCCAAGTTCGAGATCACCGAGTGCTTCATCTCTGACAGCTCCTCTGATCAGATGACCACAGGCACCAACGATAACGCAGACAGCATGACCTCTATGAGCACACCATCCGAACCAGGCATCTGTCGCTTCACTGCCTCTCCGCCCAAACCGCAGGATTACGACCGCGGCAAAAACGTTGCAGTGCCCATTCCGCACCGTGCCAACAAGAGTGAGTTGACGACACATTTTGGGGGTGTTAAACATGTTGGAGCAGTGAAGTCCAGCTTGTGTAATTTCCAGAACTACCCCCCTCCCCCGGACCACAAAACCAGTCACAAGGGTCAATTTTTTAAAATGAGATGTATACATCATCTGAAAGCTGAATAAATAAAGGTTCCATTGATGTATGGTTTGTTAGGATATGACAATATTTGGCTGAGATACAACTATTTGAAAATCTGGAATCTGAGGGTGCAAAAATATTTAGAAAATTGCCTTTAAAATTGTCCAAATGAAGTCCTTAGCAACACCATATTACTAATCAAAAATTAAGTTTTAATATATTTACAATAGAAAATGTACAAAATATCTTTAGGGAACATGATCTTTACTTATCCTAATTAGGGGTTGAACGACTTCTGATTTTTTGAAGTCGACTTTTATGTGATGAAATTCGATTCGAAGTCGACTAGTTGCTGATGACGACATTAATGAACAAATAAGTCACAGCTATGGCATATGACGCAGCGCTGGCCACATGGCTGTTGCTCCTATAACAGCTTTTTTTATCAGTTCTTTTGTCTTTAAGTCGTTATATTTCTCACAGATTTCTGCTCGTTCTAAATCAGATATAGACAAAGTAGCACAGTAAAGATTACATTGATACGAATGCATTAGTGAGACAGCGATTGCGTGTGTGAATTAATTCTGCCTGGCAGCGTCTCTCTACTAGTAGTGAAGCTGTGGAATTTACTAGTTATTAAGAAATATATGCTTGAACTTTTCAGTTTCTAAGCTATTTTATTGAAAAATCACAGAACAGTGTTGACAATACATTTCCGCGCTAAATGATTCTGTGCGCGTGATGTACGTGCTACTGTCTGTAGCCCATGTGTGTGTTACAGTGCAGCAGCGCATTAGATTAGAATGCCGATTAATTTACCTGTACAATAAGCTGTTTAAAACATGCATTCTCCCGTTCAATTTCGAGCATCCAGTAATATAATCACACGTCTTGTGGAGTGCTTTCAGAGTATGCATTTATTTGTCATTTGAACTGTTTAGAAATAGAGTGTAAATGTGGAAGTCCTTCAAAGATTTCTTATCATGTTGCGCCCTCTATAGGACCAGCGACTAATCGACGTCAAGCTTAAAGCGTCATGGCAGAACATTGAAGTCGACTAGTCAATTAGTCGATTAGTCTGTGCAACCCCTAATCCTAATCCTAATGATTAGATTATTAATCCTAATGATTGTTAAATGATTTTAATAAATCCTAATGATTTTTGGCCTATAGTAATTTCATAAATTGTTGGCTATTGCTACAAATATATCCGTGCGACTTGCAACTGGTTTTGTGGTCCAGGGTCACATACTGTATATATTAAAGCGATATCTAAAGAATAGCCTCCAACTACAGAAGCTGCCATTTAACATTGTTTTACTGACACTTGTCTCTGTCCTACAGGTGAGTACTGTAACCTCCCCCTCTACATGAAGACCGACCCTTTCTTCCGGAAACAAGCGGAGCTGCACGACCCCTGCCCTGTGGTCCCGCCTCGCGAGGCATCCATCCGGAGCCTTGCTGCCCGGGCCTACCACACACAGGGCCGCCACATGACATTAGACCCCTCCAAGCAGCAGGCCCTGACACTGGGCCACGGCGGCCTGAGCAGCCTGACCAGCTCAGGGGCCTCTGGTATTTCAGGCCCAGCTTCAAGCGGGGCTGCTGGGAGCTCCAGCATCAGCTCAGGCACAGCCACCCTGCCCCAGAGGACTCTCACCATGCCCAGCACCTCCTCCACCTCCTTGGCCCTAAGCGGGGCAGCTACCGCTGGAGCAGGAGCCAGCGCGAGCTCCACGGGAGGCAGCGGCCCGACGCCTGGCAGTTCCAAGGTCGGGGGATCCAGAGACTCTCTGCTCGAGAGCAGCTCGTCCGGCCTGGGCAGACTGCAAAAGCAGAATGCTGGGGCGTACTCCAAATCCTACACTCTGGTGTAGCTCACACACATACGTATACACATACAGTACGTTCTCACACTCCTGGAGTCTGGGCAGGGGCGGAAATTAACAATGGCGCGACAGGGGTCTCTATCTTTTCCTCTCTGTTACCTTTTTTTTGCTTTCCTTTTTTTATTCTTCTGCTCAAGCTTTTTTATCTGGCCTTCTCCAGGATTAAATATGCCAAACCCCAGGACCCTTTCCCCCAATTCTGCCTTTTTTTATTTTGTCTTACGTTTTGTCCTTCTCTCTCGCTTTCTTCCCCTCTCTCCTTTCTCTTCTCTCTGTCAAAGACACCTTGGACCTTATGCACGAAATGCTTTCCATGTGCACTTGTTCATTTGATTTCTTGAGTTCAGAAAATAGGAAAAAGCGGTTTTAAGAGATACATTGTTTCACATTAACCTGTCTAGATGTTTTTAGGCTGTCAAAAAAGTGTCTCTTTTTATGTCTCTCATACTGCAACGCATTGCCTCGGAAAGCTTATGCATAAACGAATCCACCACGGTGTTCCGCCCCTCCTGATCCACAATGGTCTGGAAAAACAGCTCGAAGCTCGAAGTCTTGACCGCCTGAATCGAGTCTTTGGGATTTTTTTCATGCAATTGATGACACAGTATAGAGTGTTATTGACTATTTTGTAAAGAAACAAGAAAAAAAAATGTGAAAAAAAAATGTCTGGAGCCATTTTCACTGCGGATGTATGGTTACTGTACTTTAATTTTTTTGTTCGGTTTTCTATTTTCGAAATGTTGAACTTTAGCACTAAGGAGGGCCGGGTGGATCCACTGAGCTTTCTCAAGCTTGTGTACGTGTGGTGTGTGTGTGTGTGCATGTGTATGTATATGTGTAAATATATATGTATACATGTGGCCAGCACACACCTTTAAAAGACCTCTCGACCTAGCCTGCGTGCTTGGTCTCTTGGCATCGGATCGGCTTGAAGACGCCAAGTGCCGCCCACTGAGCAACAAGGTCTAGAGTCCATCTGAAAAGGGGGGACAAGTTGGAGAAAGTATGTAAAGGGTGGATGCATCTCCCTTCTCTTCTCTCTCGACTCCCTTCGATATGAAAGAAAGGCTCTTGTTTTGCTGTTTGTTTGTTCGTTCGTTCGATTGTTTGTGTTTGATGCCATATACCTATCACCCCTCCTCCCCCACCCAGACCTCCCCCAAAAACGTTACCACTTCCTCTGTCTCACTGTGAACGCCTAACAGCCTCTCCTGGATGGACCGAGCACAGGCAGAAAGGCGGGAAGAGGGCAGAGAGGTAGGGAGGAATTAGAGGCAGACGGGCCCGTGAACAGAGAGGGAGAGATATCTGCCATCGCTGTGTAGCTTTTCTGTGTTTGTTCATCGTTTCTCTTTATTCTTTGCTTTCCTTCCCCACACGAAGACTCTAGCGGTCGTTCCTATTCGAAGGTCTTAGAGACTCTAGCTTTAGGTAGCGCAGGGGTGGATAAAGGAGGGAATGAGTGAAATGTAGGAGGAGGGGAAGGTTTCATTCAACCCCTAAATGGATCGAAATCCCTCTCAACCCTCCTTCGTTCACTCAGTTTCCAAAGCAAAGCCCCATCACAGAGAAACTTCCAAAAATCGACAAACTCTCCCAATGATTTCAATGGAAAAATAAAGTACTACATCAGGGCTCCTGCAATACAAAAGAAGAAAAAAAAAAAGAAAATATATTGCAATGTTTGTTGTCAAAATATATACATATATATTTCTATCTAAAGATATAGTAAATATATACATGGTGAGAGCAGAGATTTAATGCCATATCTAATTGAAAAAGAAAAATTTTATTTTAAAAAAAGATTTGAAGACAATCGCTCAGTGGGAGGTGCAGCAGTAAGCGAGAGGAGGTGTCGATCACGAAACGCTGAGATAAACGGGTAACATAACTAAGAGAGATTGAAAAAGAACAGCAGAGGGTGTGTTTCGACATGCCGCAGTTGGGAATTCTGGGGAAAGATCGTTGAGGTTCCCAAACTAACTTCCTGTCATTGTTATAATCAGCCGGGCTGCATAGTGCAACACGCCTGTATGGTATGAAGGAGATATTTATGGACATTTCCGAACACACTCTCTACAGTTGCTTGGAAACAATGGAAATTTGCCACTGCAAATCCAGCTCATAAATGGACATCTGTGAGTGCCATCTGAATCCATGCACCATCTCTACTGCCCAATGAATTGTTTAAAATACCCACAGTGCTTTGAGAGCTTTCCATCAGGTCCCTAAAGAGACAGTTCACCCAAAAACTAAAATTCGGTCATTATTTACTTACCCACATGTTGTTCCAAACCTGTACAACTTTATTTCTTCTGTGGAACACAGAAGTGTCTCGTCCATACAGTGAAAGTAAGGGTGTCGCAAAATACTGCTATTGGTGATAAGTGAAATATTGATATGGTAATACCAGAAATAATCCAGCACCAGTAATATCGGTTTGATATTCCAACATAGTGTATTGCACATTAACGCTGGTCACCACCCATCATAAAATGGAAAAACAGAAGATGATGCAGTGTGTAAAAATAACAGAAACATAGAAATAGAAATGGCTCTAACAGGTCTAAATTAACACAATTTGGACCCCACTGACTTTCATTGTATGGAATAATTGATGAATAGTGTATAGATTGTGAATGATGACAAAATATAAATTTTGAGTGAACTATTCCTTTAAGGTGAGATTGCTCCTGTGATATTAAAAAGTCAAGCTTTCAGCACATCTGATAGTTTAGATCTTATTTATCAGGGGAAAGATTGCTACATTTATGTACTGCATATTTATTGTTAGAACACACAACCCCTGCAGACTTCAGCACAGGAAATAGCACACATTTATTGTTTGTACAACAGGATTCAGTTTCATGCAGCCGCCTGATCATATCTCATGTTAGGAAGACTTGACACAACAAATCCTAAGGTACAGAGTAGGGACATGTCGTGTTGGGTTTAAAAATTGAGCGGATTGAACAATAGTATTTCTGTTTGTGGCATATGAAAAAAAAAATCTGTTTGACTTACCAGGAGATGTTTTATTGGTGGCTTGATAAATTAGGATTGTGTTACAGTGTACCCAAAGTTGTGTAAGATAAATACATTTGATCACCCAGATCTAACCCAAACTTCAGATAGAGTTGCAAAGAATGTGGACTTGTTTTAAAAACAGTGAAAGATGTATGTGTTCCTCTTATTGCTGCTCAAATGCCCACTGACTGGGTTATTAAGTCTGTCTGATGGCAGACATGCCCAGTGCATTTTGCCATGAACATGTTTCATTAGGATTAGACCGATATCTATATCAGTATCCATGCCTGTTCAGGTGCAACATCTTGTGAAAATATTCCCTTGACCACCCCAGAAAGCCCCCACGTCCCATGTTTTTCATATTTAAAAGACAGTTGCTGACTTAAAATTAATTTGATTTTTTTTCCTCGGTTGCATTCTTTATGAAAATAGATATAGAATAGTTTTTGTTTGGTTCTATGATGATTTGTGTTGAAAAGAAAATGCAGTTGTGTTGCGCAACGGGGCAGGCCTGTTTAGCCAGTCGAATCAGGGACCCCTAAGCTCCAACCAATCACAGGAGAAGCTGTGTGGATATTGGGCGGAGTCAGGAACAGAACTCCATCCCCACACGCCTGTTTCCCCGCCCGAATGATCCGATTAGCCCCTTTTCCTCAACCAATAAAAAATCCTGCTATTCCCAAGACCTCCCTGTCAGCATAATTTCTAATCTACAAATAAAGACTCTTGTATATATGAAACTGTTTTGTATAAATAATTACTATTTTCGACATCTCCATTAGCAACCAGAGCACAATTATAAGTCTGGTTAAAGGTATAACTTTAAATGTGAGGGGATTAAAAAGACAAAAAAGTATAAAATCTAACAAAAAATACTTTACACCTTGAGTTTTGAATGGGGCACATGAACCCAGACCAGATGTCTGGCGTTTAATTTATTTTCTCCTTTTTATAATTTGTCTTATGTTTTTATTAATTTATGTTGTTGGTTGTTTTGTTTGTTTTTACTTTTGTTTCATTTCGTTTCTACCTTTTGGTTAACTTGACGAAAAATGGCATTGCATGCTCTGAATATTTTGCTGGTTATTAAAAGAAAAAGGAAAAGGAGACAAATAACTAAAAGAGAAAAAAAAATAAAAAATGCGGAGGGGATTCCTAAACTTTTATGGAAAAGTTGCTTCAATTTGCAATTGCTTGTGTTTAAATATACAGTTTTTTTTCTATGAAAACAAAACAAAAACAGAAAAAGAGTACTCCAACACCTTGTGCAATAAAGCTATCTTTCTATGAATGGTGCCTTGTCCCTTGTGTGATTTTTATAAAATAAATATTCCACCATTCCATCTATACATCTATCTATCCCTACATTTTACATAAAAAAAAACAATTAAATACAGAAAATAATTGTATGCTCCACATGTTTTACATGCTCATTTGTAGTTACTTTTGTAGGTATTTTTCAAATATTTTATTACCTTATATGTCAAAAACTTATTTTTTTTTCACAAAAAATAAATAAATAAAAATAACAGTGTTCCAACATTTCACAAAAATCAAGATTCAATATATTTGGTCAAAATCCCATGTTATAAAAGATGAAGTGCTATGCAGGCTATTTAAGACAATATTGGCTGATTAGACGGCAATGCTGACCTAAAGTGCAAAATGTTTTCCTTCTCTCTCTTCAATATTCCCACATCTCAGACCTCAAATACATAAAATAGTACTCTTTTTAGACATAGTTTAGTAAAGAGTAAAGAAAATACTATACAAACCTTACTAGCAGTTGCCAAGTAGTTATCAGTTTTACTTTTCCAATACAAATAAGAGCAGTCTACCTTTTCATAACTGAAAATAAAAAGTTATGACCAGTCTACATCCGGCCCCAGTTCTTTATTTACCCTTGTATGATCACAAGTACCCTTGTAAGTATGCTGTAAAGTTGTAAACATGATTGATTAGTTCAAAAATCAGTTGTGACATGGCTAGGCATTTAACTAGGCAGTCTTTCCCTGTAAAAACTGATCCATTATTCATACCTCTTATCCTCCGTTGGATCGTGGGATATAGAATATATGCATATGTTGATACAATTGTTCAACATTCAAAACGATGCAGGGGTATAACAATATATCGTGTCACAATATATTGTACCAAAAATTAAAGCTTAGATAATTTAATTTAGTATCAGATTTAATAAAATCACCTAATAAAAAATTGAAAACAAATCACATTATTTAGTACAATATCTAAAGCTTTTTAAATGTTGTAACACTGTGCAATCATTTGTATCTAAAATAATTATGTATTTTTTAAGCTAAGTAAAATTATGAATATTTATCTTCTCTTGTCCTGTGAATTGGGGAGAAGGATCAAGTTCCCGCTGATATAATACTAAATTCAGCATTTAATAAACAGTAGTTTACCAGTATTTCAGGATGATTTTAACAATGAAATGATTAGAAAATAATCTTTGTGGTCGAAGACCATGCCGGCGCGCTTTGTCACGTTTTCTCAAAGACCACGAAAATAACTAAAAATACAGATACGAGTATGGCATCGTTTGAAACTGCAGAGGGTCTACTTTTATTTGAGTATAGTCGTAATAACAACAAAACAATGTGCTTTTGTAAAATAAAGAAAGCAAACAGGGTGTGCTCTTTGCCGTCTCGGTCTCTGGGAACTTTCTTCACAGAGACATGAATAAAACAACTTGAATCGCAGTGAATATGTGCCTCACATACATGATACATATATGTATAGAAAGCTTGAAATGTCCACCTTTAAATAAACCAATTCAAATTGAAAACAAATATTATCTGATTATATAATCTGTATGAAAGTAAGGAGAGGTACAGTTTCTCCTGTCTCACCTCATTGTCACTAATGTGATCCCGCCTCACACCGAGCGCTCTGTTCACATGTTAATGATCTGAGGTCAGCCAGGTAAACATGTAGATGCCCCCAAAAAATGGCATCAAAATGTCAAGCTTCATCATAGAATTTAGCATACTTTATTTTTCTGCGTGTTGGATGATGGCACGCTACATGGGTGAGGACACACTCTGGACAGTGAGGACTCTTCTCGGAGTGACTCAGATGACGAACGTTTGCATTTTGAAAAGCCACTAATATAATTCCTGACAGTAGCCTTTTATTCTTAACTTGCTCGGCTATATATAAAAGCTACAAATTTTTTAGTTGGATTTTTCCAAACAGGCTATTATTGTCAGACTAAAATCTGTACAAATTTACAAATTATTTTCAAAAATTAATTTTCAAAATCTGTAAAGTCTTTTACAAATTCAGTGTAAAAAATTAGTTGAAATATGAAATATCTCCTCACAGGCCACTTTTAGTTTTAAAAGTCGTACAAGGCATGCCTATAAACTATGCTATATATAAACATAAATATGATAATAAACTATTATATCCCTTATGAAAATTAAAGTTGGTTTTGGGGGGCGGATCTAGAGAATATGTTTTAGGGTGGCAAAGGGGTGGCATGGGGTCTATGAGGGCTGGCAACACCAAAGCAAGCCCCCATGCATAGTTTTTGGGGATTTATGGTCTGACCTACGCAGTTGTGTTCACAAATATTATATTACCATTAAGTAATCATCTATACTGTTTAAAATTTAAAATAAATAACAACATTTCAATATCCATCATGGCACCAAGTCAATACACAACATAAAAACTTCAACAGGTTATAAATGTTTCTGAGCTTGTATCACCAAAGAAGACATGTGGTTCTATTAAAATTACATAGGCTACTTGGATGGTATAAATCACGTTTTAGTGCAAGTTTAAGAGCAACAGAAAAACAATAATATCAAAGCACTGAAACTGGATCAGTTTTGAAAACAGTGTTTGATTTTCTGTTATTAACAGAGGTGGGAATGTCTGTAATCACCCAGAACAAACTCGATCAACCATATACTCTAACAACACCGCAGCAACTGCATAGCAAGAGCCTAGCAACCACCCAGAATATCCTAGCAACCCTTTAGGAAACATCTAGAACAGCTAACTGACCAAACCATTTACGTTTTTAAACAAGACTTTAAGACAAGCCGGCATAAATTTGTCTTTCAAACTTTTCAATCTAGTTATTACAGGTTTTTTCAACTGCTTACACACATTTTCAAAACTTTGCCTCTTTTTTTCAAAACTTTACACACAAATCCAAGAATTGCACACCCAAAATGCAAATTGCTTCACATCTTTTGCAAAACGAAGCACTGCATTCAAAATATCACAAACACA